AAAAATGTCACTGCAGCATTATTATATTTCCATAGACGCCGCCTGGTCGACGCCGCGAGTCTAGACGCGTAATAATTATACATCGAGCCAAGAGAGGCGGGTATTCTGGAAATGTGAGTCATCCGAATTCGTCTTACCATCGATCTTATCCCGACTATTTGCCGAGAAGGTCAGCCGGTAATCAAATACTGCTTATTGTTTGCTATGAAAGCTTCGAACAGGTTCTGTTAACGTGAACTTTTTCTTAAACACATATTAGTAAGAGACGGTTATTTGCTATTTATTTAAGTATAGGTATAACTATAATAATATATATTAGAAATACCCTTAACCGACGAGCATGTATGCGTAGATATATTGATGTAAAGGAGGCGAAGGAGGTATGTCAGGATCGTGCCAAATGGAAGTCCGTAGTCTCTGCCTACCCCTCTGGGTGACAGGCGTGAGTGTTTATGTACGTATAATAATATACTGCGTAGTGGCGGTGCTAGAATATCCACTATCTCATATCATCCAGTGGCTGTCGTAAGAGAAGACAGAGGGAAACAAATCAGGAGATGGGCAGCAACGTCTCCCTAATAACGACTAAAATAAAGTGCAGTTGCCAACCAGCTTGCCAAGCTTGGCAACTATGTTCAACAGTAGACTTAAATAGGCTGTAACGGTTATTACCGCTTTCATTGATTGATAAGTTCATTTGGTATCTTGTCACTCACGTTGTCAATCATACTTGTAGGTCAATATTTCATCAGACATTTCTGTACATATAACTTCTAATACGTTTGAGAACTTCAAAGCAATGTGGTATAATATGCGAGTATACTATTGTGTATTGAGGTTACACTGACGGAATGGTTAATAAGTCACTTTTATATCGTATCTCATTGCCATTAATATTAACCTATATTGTCATCTTATAAATCTTTATTCAGGTTCCGGTACTTATGTTCGTGGTTGAGCTACGCTGCAGCTATAATTGTAGCACGAATGGGTTGGCTCCATCGGGGCAGGACCGCGCTCTCACAGAATACCGGCGTAAAATAGCAGTGTGAGTGTAGAGAAACGGAGACCCTTTTTACTAGAATCGAGGCATTCCATCTTAGTCCTCAGGGGTGACAACGCATTTTCATTTTGATTCTAAAAGGATAAATGTGATGCCTATAAGCCACAGCATTAACTTACCATCAATAACTCGTGCTCGTTTACTTATTATATTTTTGCATTATATTTATCAACATTTCTCGTCAATAATGATTGCCTATCCTCTTAACGATAGCTGTTTTATATCTAATTATTGTAATGTATTTGCTAAATGGAGCCAATAGGAAAAGTATAAAGACTTTGTTTTAATTTAAACAAAAATGTTATGCTCTATAATGTTACGAGGCTTTTCTGATTTTTTTACTTGTGTATTAAACATCATTAAATTTTTTTGAATTACAACAAATTACTTAATTGAAATAATACTAGTTTTTACGGAATTTATCGCGTATAATTTAACTTTTTAAATACCCGACGTTTCGAACGCTTTACAGCACTCATGGTCACGGTCGGGACTGAGATGTTCAACGTCCAGATGTCATAGTTAACCGCGGTTACCATAGATTAAAATTTAACTTCTTAAATTTTTGGTATTGGATGTGGTATTTTTTCGTAGCCACGGGACGATATTGGGTAGTAGAGGACAATAGCCACTAACACGGTTTCAATTTGAAAATTATAAAAATACAATCTTCAAATTATAACTATAATTATTATTAATTGCATGATTCATGAATTAGAATTGACAAAGTTGCTGTCGTCATGAATCAACTTAACTATGATGCTGACATAATCCCTCGATATAACCGATTAGACATTCTTAGCGCTTGTAAACAAAATGGCGATGGCTAAGCGGTAAGCGCTGTGAAATGGTAAATAGCTATTTTCCTCTAGGACGCTAAGTTAGCTTTAACCGGGGAACCTAACCTAATTTAAATTATATATGTTTGTAAAGTGTTCATATTAAAAACTTACCAATCATGAATAATATATTAAAAATGTAGTGAATGATGAAGAACAGATGCAGAGATATTTTCGGTGATGATACTGCTATTTGCTAATATAGCTGCTCCCATTATTAATGTTCCTATTAATGCAGGTATTTACTATGTTTATTATTTTACATGTAGTTTATAAAAAATTTAAAAAATAAATAAGCAAAATGGCGGATTGTGTCAGCGCTACTAAAGTTAAAAAACGTGTCTTGGCCGAAAACTGTATAATTTGTTTTTCAACACTAGTAAGTGCTCTCAAGCGCTTTTTCTACCAAACGCACCCATCATCTATTTGTTGGTGCGTAATCAAAGTGAGACACGTCATTAATTCAACCTACGAGATAAAACGTCCACAACTGCGGTATCTTGGAAATAGAACGGCTTTTGATGGAATAGCGGTTTGATGAAGATTTGTAGCTCGGAAGCAGTGATAGTAGCCAGCCGGGCCTATAACGGTGCTTGGACGTGACTTGGAAGCAAGCGAGTTGTGAAAGTACGCCGATGAGGTCATGTTCATTGCTTGAGCTAATTTGTTTTGTTTTACTAGCGTCGAACTTTTAAGGGATTCTTTTACACGATATTTAGTGTTAAAACCGTCGACCTAAATTATTTAATTTAAATATATATATATATATATATATATATATATATATATATATATATATATATATATACCCATTCGTGCTACAACTTTATTATTGCATTTCATTAAAACATGGATCAACATTTTTAGAATTTTTGTCTGTATATTTGTTGATCAGACCGGGCTCATGTTTATAATGGCTGAAGAGAACAGATAGAGAGCAATGGTAAGAGTGCTCTAGGATACAATTTATCCCAACAGTATAGTTTCTTTTTTGTAAAACGAAAAATTGATAGTTATTTTAAATCCAAATAACGCCACATTAATAGATTATACCCAGGCGAAGCCGCGACGGATCGCAAGTAAAAACACTATATATATATATATATATATATATATATATATATATATATATATATATATATATATATATATATATATAGTGTTTTTACTATATATATATATATATATATATATATATATATATATATATATATATATATATATATATATAGTGTTTTTACTTGCGATCCGTCGCGGCTTCGCCTGGGTATAATCTATTAATGTGGCGTTATTTGGATTTAAAATAACTATCAATTTTTCGTTTTACAAAAAAGAAACTATACTGTTGGGATAAATTGTATCCTAGAGCACTCTTACCATTGCTCTCTATCTGTTCTGTTCAGCCATTATAAACATGAGCCCGGTCTGATCAACAAATATACAGACAAAAATTCTAAAAATGTTGATCCATGTTTTAATGAAATGCAATAATAAAGTTGTAGCACGAATGGGTCGGCATGACCGGGGTAGGATCACGCTCTCACAGAATACCAGCGTAAAATAGCAGCTAAATGCTGCTGTGTTTCGTATGGTTAGTGTAGAGAACCCGAGACCCTTTTTACTGGAAACGCGACATTACATCTCAGTCCTCACGGGTGACAACGCATCTGCATTTTGATTCCTAATCGAGGATAGATGTCTATGGGCCACAGCAACCATTTACCATCAGATGGACTGTGTGCTCGTTTGTCACCACATATTACGTATATCAGATATATCTAAGCTAAGAATTCTTCAATTTCTGGGTCGTATCATAATGTAATAGATGGTCTGGTCGTATCATAATGATCTGGAATAAGTGGAGTCATTGATGGGCAGAGTGAGGGGAAGCTTGAATAGTATCTTGAAGGTTTTTGCGGAGAGGCTCGACGGCCCGACACTAGGTAGGTTTGTCAAGCTACATGTACTAAATTGAGCTGGATAAATCTATCAATTTGTATGCGTTTTTTGTTTTTTTTTATTTTTATTTTGTTTTATTTCTATTGTGTTTTATTTAATTTTTTCGTGTACTAACATCAGTTTTTAAGTTTTTGTATTTGTATTACTAACATGCTATGGGTCTACGGTGTCTGAAAAATAAAACATTTTTATTCTATTTTACAACAATATCATTTACTTAGATTAAGTAACATACCCAGCAGTGTACGTATAGAACTAGAGACCCTTTTTACTAGAAATGAGGCATTCCATCTTAGTCCTCAGTGATGACAAAGCATCTGCATTTTGAATTTTAATCGAGGGTAAATATATAAATGTCTACGGGTCTCAGCATCCACTTACCATCAGGTAGACTGTGAGCTCGTTTGTCACTTTTATTCTTTATAAAAAAAAACCTCAGCTTAAAATAAGGCAGTCATTTCGATATTGTAGACGGACACTTCAATTTTTTATGGGTGTTAATAATTGACAGCACCGACCCCAGATAATGGGAAATGGTCTAGAGAATGATGAATAATTGACAGCAATTATTGGCGTGTATTTAATTGCGTATGATTATTTTAATATTTTCCCAAAATAAACCTAATTATTATAAAAAAATAGCATTTATTTAACAATCTTACAAAATATGCGTATGGAAAACATTAAGTAATACATTTTATGTGAAGTGACTTAAACTTAAATATATACTTCATTATTTAACACCGGTATTGTAATTATCTTGCGTTTTGCAAAGGCCTCCTACAAGTAACTCCAGCAATGTTCCGAATCATCCTCCCATCTAAGACGCTGACTCCCTTTCTTTCGTTTGTATTGTCTTGGACCCCACTCGGTGACGTTCTTAGCCCATTTGTCTTTGTAACTCATCACATGACCTGCCCACTTCCATTTTAGTTTTCTTATACAGTGTGTTACATCATTTATTTTAGATTGATTTCGTAATGTTTCTAGTTTTATTTTGTCTTTTAACTTGATATTGAGCATGCTTCTCTTCATGCTGTCTTGACTGGTCTCTAGTTTGCGCAGGTTTTTCGTTAAGCTCAATGTTTGACATCTATATGTCATGTGTATTACCCACACATGAATCAAATTAATTTTTCTTAGCTTAAAGTGGTACTTGTGGGTTTTTGACAATTTCTTTTAGGGACCGATGTCTTTTCCATGCTAACTGTACTCTGATTGTTTATTTCTTTTGTTGTAAGATCATTTGGTGATACTATCTGTCCAAGGTATGTATATTCATTGACATATTCTATTTTTGTGCCGTTGACTGTGATAGGGGTTTTGTATACGTTTGTCATTACTTTGGTTTTTGTAGCGTTCCTTGAAAGTCGAACTCTGTCGCTTTCGTACACAAGTTGTTCAAGCATCTCTTGCAGGCATTTTGGACCTTGTGAAATCAGAATTAAATCATCTGCAAATCTTAGATGTTTTAGTTTGATTTTGCTGATGTTTAGTCCACATTTACTCTACTCGAGGCGTCTAAATATGAATTCAGGCACTGCCGTAAAAAGTTTGCGTGATATTGGATCTCCCTATCAGATAGGGCCTATCGGCCCTCTTTTTATAGGGAGGTGATCTTCCACTCTTTCTGCTTGTATTTTTGCTTTCATATTCTTGTATATGTTGCTAATTAGTCGTATTTATTTATTCTCAACACCCCTTGTATTGCAAGCTCTTCTCATATTGTTGTGTGTTTTAAAGATGCAAATGCTTTGTTATAATCCACACATGCCTAATAATAATTAATACCGTATGCGGTATGTTTCTCGATAATTTGTTTTATGACCACCTAAGACTGGCTTTGGCCTGGGAAATTCTTTCAGCCGTATCGGAAGCGACCCCCCTTGGGGAAAGGGGGGCGCAGTGAGATACCGCCTATGTAGCCATGGTGTTTTATACCTCCGCCATTCGCGTAGACTCCACACACGCGTTTCCTTTTCAGGGATCGAACAACATAAAAATTCCTTCGTCGGTGTGTACTCGTATGTGGTCGATTGTTGAAAAATCGCTTCGAAAACCAGCGTGCTTTCTGGGTTGGTTTTCATCCGGAGTCCTACTTAAACGGTTTAACAGTACATTAGAAAATATATTTTAGAAGTTGGACATCACGCAGTACTGTAGTTGAAGTAGTTTACTGATGAGGTGTATATATTCTGATACTAAAATTGGATAAATTTGTGATAGAGTCCAATATTATATCAGATGTTCCTATTAGAAGTTCGTTAGATATGCAGTCTTCTCCCGATGCTTTTCCTCTTTTTGTGATTTTATTGCCTTCTCTACTTCTTCTTTTAGTATATTATTCCTAATATAATTCATTAATATAACTACTTTTAAGTCTTTTAATCACCAGGAAATTTAAACATTTGTTTCTTAAATACGTCTTTGATGATTATTTTATATTTACAGACTGTCTTATCGCCAGACATTTTGTTAAATATTTGGCGAAATAGATACGAACAATCTGAAATTATATAACCAATCTTTTGAAGCAGTAAATGTAATTTCGAGAAAACTTATTTATAAACCTTAATTTGTATTTTAGGCTTTGCGTTACAAGCAATCGTACGCTTTACCAGAATATGTATTCACTTTTTTTAAGCAATCGACGTGTAATTTGAAAACAATACCTCGCACATTTATATTCTTCAACGCAACGTGTAACGCTGATGTATTTTTAAATCTGAGATCGCTGTTGTAACTGCGGTGAAGTCACCACAATAAGTTATGAAGCGGTTATAGTCACTCGCGTGATTCATTTCCTTGTTCCTAGTTGATTCTGCTTTACTGATTAATGTAATAATACTACTATCGTATTACTAATACGTTCAACTCATGTATAAATATATATCTTTTGTAATGTTATGAAAATGTATGGATGATAAAAATGAAACTTTAAAAATAAAGTAAAACGACATCAACAACCGAAAAAAATAATTTCAACGGTGGTTAAGACTCGGTGTGCCGATGAGTTTAGGTCCCGACTTCAACACCTATTATGTGGAAGCTATTTAAAATATAATTTTTAGTTAATGATATCTGATACTTACGCGAACACTACACATTGAATACAACTACTTTTACGTATTTACGCGTTTAATTCACTTATTATTCACTTATTATTCATTCCCGACGTTTGGGGTGCTTGGGACTGTCCCCCCCCCCCCCGTAACCATGCGTTAAAAAGACAAAAACTAAATTATTTTTAGTTTTTTTCGTTACTCGGTTTTTAATTTAATTTTTCAAGTTCATTACCAACTAGAATCTCGTCTAAATAGTAATATTAAAGCCTTCATCCGTATTTTACACACTTAGCGGCGTAAAATGTTACACAAACTAACTTGTATATCAAGTGCTCGGCGATAAGGAAAACATCGTGAGGAAACCTGCAATATCTGAGGAATTAGAAAAAAAAATATTTCGAAGACATATGAAGTTCGCCAACACGCATTGGGGCAGCGCGGCGGACATTTCCTCGACCTAAAAGCCTCTCAGAAATGAGAGGAGACATGTGACCCAGCTGTGGGACTTATATAGACTGTAACTTTACTTTTTTTACTTTTACACTGAGATGTAGAACGTCCTATGTCAGATTGAAACCTACTACTTAAGCTTTTAATTATTAATTTTGGACTGATCTACGCAGAGTAAGCTCACCGTATTTTAAAGTCATGCAGTATGCTTTGGTTATTATACAGTATGCTTTGATTGTATTTGATTGCTAAATCCCAAGCAGATAGTAACCCAGCAATCTTCTTCATTGATCAAGCTATCTAAGCAAGCCATCCTTAAGTCAGTGCTTGACTGCCATCTATATCTATACTATAATATTTAAAAAATATTTACTATATTTTAAAAGAAGAGGTAGCCAATCTTGTCTTTTTTATAGAATAAGGGTGACAAACGAGCACACAGTCCACCTGACGGTAAGTGGATGCTGTGGCCAGTAGACATCTTAATTGATCCTCGATTAAGAATCAAAACGCAGAAGCGTTGTCACCCCTGAGGACTAAGATGGAATGCCATGTTTCCAGTAAAAAGGGTCTCCGGTTCTCTACACTCACAATACGAAAAAAGTAGCGTAAAGCTGCTATTCTACTATAGTGCTATTTTACTTTACTATAATATAAAGGGTCCGCCAACTAACTTTTTTTTTCAACTAGTGCTTATTTCGTGAATGGCAACACTTAGCTCATGTCTAATTTGACAGATAATTAGTTTTATCCTTCCGCTGAACGAATATGGTTGTGTATACGCTTGAACAACGCCGGGAAATATTGCGACATTACTTTGAAAGTCATGGTAATGTTGCAGAATGTGTGCGAAAATTGCGTACGGATTTTGGAATCAGCTCCGTATGTTCGTTACCTTGTGAAAAAAGTGAAAGAAACTGGCATCCTCATCGATAAACCAACGCGTGAAAAGCCAAAAACAGTGCGTACACCCGAGAATATTGCTGCTGTGGCCGAAAGTGTGCGTGAAACGCCACCGACATCACTTCACCGTCGTTCTCAACAATTGGACATTTCGGAGACATCATTGAGACGAATTTTGCGTAAAGACCTTGGTATGACGCCGTACAAAATCCAATTGGTTCAGGAGTTGAAGCCAACTGACCATCCAATGCGTTTTCGCTTCGCTAAGTGGGCCTGCGATCGACTTGCAGAAGATGCGGATTTTGCCAAAAAAAATCATCTTTTCAGATGAAGCTCATTTCGAACTTGGCGGGTATGTAAACAAGCAGAATTGTCGCATTTGGGGCACAGAAAACCCGCACGCATTCATCGAAAAGCCGGTGCACCCAAAACGAGACACTGTTTGGTGCGGATTTTGGTCCAGAGCCATAATTGGGCCACTTTTCTTCGAAAATGAGCAAGGTGTGGCCGTTACAGTCAATGGCGATCGTTATCGGGCCATGTTGAACGAATTTTTGTTCACAGAAATTGAAGAGGAGGATATTGGCAACATTTGGTTTCAACAGGACGGCGCAACGTGCCACACAGCCGACGCTACACTTGATGTTTTGCGCCCTGTTTTTGAAAATCGCACTATCAGCCGCAGAGCTGATGTCGTTTGGCCACCTCGGAGCTGCGATTTGACACCGTTGGACTATTATTTGTGGGGTGCCGTTAAAGATAAGTGTTACGCCGACAAGCCAGAGACAATTGACGCTCTAAAGGACAATATTCGTGAAGCCATTGGTGAAATACGGCTGCACACAATCGATAATGTACTCAAAAATTGGACCGATCGTGTAGGCTACTGCATGGCCAGCCGAGGCAGCCATTTGAATGAAATTATTTTCCAACATTAACCGGAAGGATTGCACTTTCAAATAAAAAAATAAATTTGAAAAAATATTTAGTAGTTTTTTTAATAGCATTTTTTTAAAAAAAAAGTTATTTGGCGGACCCGCTAGTTGCAGCGTGACTACCACGTTGTAAAACTGGTGATTGCTGTGTAGACTACTATTTATATCTACACTATTATAATATTCAAAAAAGATTTATAATATTTAAAAAGAAGATGCAGCCAATCTTGTCTGTGACTCCTATGAAATATGTCATAGGAGTCAGATACAATCATCTCGACTGCGCTTTTACTATATCACTATGACAACGACGCATGATTCGGAGCTAGTTGTAAAATCCATGCTTGACGTGCCGCAGCTGGCAGGCTAGTGTTATTTGTCACAAGTCTCTCCTGCTCTCTGAAACAAAGATTTTTCCCACGGTAGCTAAATGTGGGGGATAATAGTTACGCTTACATAAAGTATTTGTAAAATGAAGTAAATTTAAACAAGAAGCTTCTGGTTTACATAATGATTTATTATATTTACGCGAACACTACACATTGTAAAAACTTTTGAAAAAAATTAAAATTAAAACTGAACCCAAGCATACCACTGCAAGACTTAAAAACACAATTAGTTCATTCTGCGTAGATCGGACCAAAGACAATAATTAAAAAGCTGAAGGTACTCCGGGTTAACTTTGACATCGGGACGTCAGTCACCTCAGTCTCCCGTGACCATGGGTGCTGGAAAGCACCCGAAACGTCGGGTATTAAAAGTAAATAAGCGCGATAAAATCCGAAAAAGTAGTTTTAATCAACAAGAAACTTCTTTTATTTAATCTAATTTATAAAACCCTAGCGATACGCCACGGCTTCTCACAGCACCACCTATACAAGGTCCAATTGTGAATCCATACCATCCAGGGACCTACTCAAACGAACAGCAATTGATTTTTATGTATAGAGATATTGAATTCTTACTTGTAGATACTCTACAATCACATCTTTCGTTTTCACTGTTATAGTACTTGAGCGAGCTCTGCTCGACGTTGGAAAAATAAATATATATTTC